CATTTTTGTAATGCTTTTGATGATTGTTTAAATCCCTGGATATATACTAACACACAGTGATCGATGACTGCACTGGGATTTTGGTTACTGTCAGCCATAGACTATCCATTCCTACTGCGGGAGAGTATAGTAACTGGACAACACGACATCTCTCTCTCTCTCTCTCTCTCTCACACACACACACAACCACATACTCACTCACCCACTAATAATTGCATTCACTCTCAATACACACAACTACGGTAACTCTCGCACACACTAACCCACAGTCAGCACCCGTCCCCCTTCATAAATGGACAGTAAGATCAACGCACCGGATGAAAGGTGGGCGCCTGCGGTATATTCATCGACGAGGGGTACTCCGAATGTCTGGGCACGAGAACCGGCGGCAAAACTACACACCAAACAAGAAAAAACCATTAAAACAAACCACAAACAAAAAAGAGCTACCAGTGCTCTCCAAAACACCAACACTACATACCAGGGCTCTCCACGCGCTTGTAATGGTAGGGATTAATGCACACCTCCTTCTGTTTGGCCGAAAACGGGTACTCGCAGTGCTCTAAGGGCTTGAGCTCGTGGTGGGACTGGAGGTCCGGCCACCGCCACACGCGACAGTAGATCACGTGCGGCAGGCCTTTCCGGTGGGACACCTGTAGCCGGCCGTCCAGCGAGCGCGGGATTGTCACGCATTTCGATGGCTGTCCGGGTTGGCTGAGCGCCCGCTCCAACTCCTCGACCGCTCCCTTCTTCTTCTTCAGCTTCTTCACCAACGAGTCGACCGCCTTCTCCGCCCACTTCTCCTCTTCGTCGCCCTGTTTCCAGCCTAACGGCGCGATTGCGGGGGAACGGGAGGCACAGGTATGTTAGTCATCGGAAAACTCATATATAGTAGTTTTGTATCCGTTAATAGGATAATTAGTGACCACTGATAGTGATCTCACCGGACAGTGCGAGCACGTGTACTACCGGTGCTCATAGGGAAGGGTAGCAAATAGGGGACAGTTGATAGGGGAAAGGGAGGCACAGGTATTAGTCATCGGACATGCGATAACACATACGGTATCGATAGGTAATGACCACCGATTAGCTCATCGGACAGTACGACCGCGTGTAATACCGGTGCTCATAGGGAAGGGTAGCAAATAGTGTGTTAGGTGGGGGACTGGTAGGCGTGGTATTACGTACAGCACCGGGAGGGGGTTAATGACACCACTCGTAAACAGTGACTAAATCACGTGTTTAGGTGGCGTTCACACCGTAATCATGGTATTCATGTGGCACGTGGTGGTGGCGGTAGGGCTGGGAGGGGGTTCGCTAGGCGTACGTAGGTATAGCGTGGACAGGGAGGTAGGGGACAGGTATGCGGGCAATGGGTATACAATACCTAATAGTTTCTTAACGGCCGGCGAAGTGAAACTGAACAACGAGTTTAAGGTAGTCATGGCTCACACACCACGTGTTGTCTGTCCGCACGTGTATGTGTGTGGGTCGGTAGGGACAGGTAGTGTATAGTATAGGTGTGTCCCGTACACAGTGAGAGGGGACAGTTAGGCACTGAATACAAGCACGCGATTAGTGACTAATAATTGCGGTATTTATCAGTTTATGAGACAAAAAACGGCAGACATTTTGCACACAATAACAAAAACAATGAAAGTGTTTGTGTTTTGCGATTATTTGTAGACGATTTGGGCGGTGAGTGTAGCGTTGAATGTCTATAAGAGTCGGTGATAGACTGTACGTCGAAAAATGTGGAGAAAGTGTTTATTATGCGTTGAATGAATTTATTTGTGGAGTTTGCGTGCGTTTTGTAGTGTTAGGTGTCTACAGATTGTATAACGTGTTTGTACCGTACGCTTAACATTGCACCGCATTGGCGTCACTGAATGCAACAGACGTCTGCAAGTCTGCGCTGAATAGACAGCCAATGGTAACGATTTGTAGACATAATCGGCTTATGATAAGCGCACAGTTTCTACAATACGTTGCATACGTTTTGTACGTTTATTTCCAGAAGAATCTATTGCTATGCTATTCACAAATGATGTAACAGTACACTAACTGCCCCTAAATAATAAGTTAATCCACTTTACAGTATAAACTAAATTTTATAAAATAAAGTGCCATAGTAATAAATTAGCAAATAAAATAATCTCGCTCAATTAATTACATTTAGTATAACCACCATTAACTTTACACTAAATCAACATTGCCTTGACCAAAAAACCCCCTAAATTGGTAACCCCCTCACCCCCTACTGAATAACAAATACACCGAAAATGTGGTCAAAAAGAGGTGACAATTAGGCCATCGATTGCCACTTAAGACCACTTCCGGCGGCAAACAATCCACTCATTAACCATTCCTCTCATCCCATCACAGGAGGTCCGGGCGGTGGACGTGGAGGCCGTGAACGGGGAGGCCCGGGAGGCGGTGGTGGCGATCAGAGGGCATGCAATTACTGCAAAGAAAGCGGTCATATATTAGCCGACTGTCCAGTACTGGCCAAACGGTCCGCTGGTGGACAGGGAGGTCGCGGAGGTGGTGGTGGTGGCAGTGGTGGCGCTAATAAATGCTTTAATTGCGATAAAACGGGTCACAGAAAGGACGACTGTCCCGAACCCAGGCGCCAGAGGTCGACCACTGGTGCTCAGAGCACGTGCTTCGGGTGCGGACAGCCGGGCCATAGAAAGGATGAGTGCCCGCGAGGGGCCGGTAGCTCTCGCGCACCGGTAGCCTCCGGTGGTAGTAGTGGCGCGCCTACGCCTCAAAAGAAAGCCATTGGTATGTATGGACTACAGGTGCTGTTAATGGTTAATATCGGTGGTTGTGGTGGTGGTGGCCGACAGTCTCGCGCACAGACATAGGCATATAGGTGCTCGTGCTGTCGACCCCCACACACACCTATGAACACTCATATTGACTGATACACTGACTATTATAACGCGATATTAACACTCATACCTCCCATTCCCCTCTCTTATGTCAATCAGTGGTGACGACATACGAACCGAAGGAACTACAGCCCGAAGGCAACCGTAAAAGGAAACCCCTATTTGTCGGCCGTCCCGGCACTGGCACTAAAGGGATTTCTATCGCACTGATCGCCAACCACTTCAAGATACTCATCAAAGACATAACTGTCTATCACTACGACATACAGTTCGAGTGCAATACCCGTCCCATGGGTCAGGCGGCGAGCGGTGCCGTAGGCGGTGGTGCCGGTGGTGCCGGTGGTGGGGACCGGGAGTCCAGGAATAAGGTCCGGAAGTTGAGGCAAAAGGAGAACCGGTTTGCGTTCAACACGTTAATGAATATAAAGCGGGAGCTGTTCCGCAACGAACAGGGAGTACCGCTTAGACCGGTATTCGACGGGAACTCCATCTTCTATACGACGGGAAAGTTGTCTAAAGACTTGTTCACCGGTAGCATAGAGGTGCCATTGGATGGCGAGAATAGTAGGCCCTCGCAGGTTAAGGTTACAGTACAATACGCGCAGCCCATCGACTTGAGCGCCGTTAACCTCTACTACGACGGCATTTCCGACACAGTGCCCCGGTATGCCATGCAAGCACTGGATATTATACTCAGGTATGACTGGTTTTTTGGCTACCATTCCCTGTAGTTTATACTCTAATACGCGATTAATACACAGGATTTTATACCGTTATTTGTTTTGATATTTGTTTTTATAACATTTTGTTATTTGTTTTAATTACGGTTAACATGTCTGTCCACTAGACACGGGCCCACCATTACCCGCGTGCCTATCGGCAACTCCCTGTACCCCAAATGGGAGACCTCGGAGAGTGGGGACGGCAGTCGTGTGTACATCGACGACGCCGGCAACAAACAGGTAGTGTTCGGCCACTACCAGAGCACCCGACTCACCAAAATGGGACTGACATTACTGGTGGACCGGTCGGCCACCGCTTTCTTTACGGGCGGACCACTGGTCGAGTTTGTCAAGCGTTTGATGGACAGGATTCCCCGCTATTATGGCAATCGTGTCAATGAGTATATATTGGATTACGTGAAAGGTTTGTGCTATGATTTTGTTATCCCTAACCCATAACCCAAACCCAAACCCCTTAACACACGACTACTGATACACACGTCTATTGAATGTCTCATTTACTAAACAATCAACTGATACACACAGGCCTACGCATATACACCGAACACCTGGGCTACCAGAGGCCGTACACCATAGACGGCCTGTCATTACTGCCGGCCCACAGACAGAAGTTCGAGTCGACCGACGCCAAGGGACGGACAGTTGACATAACAGTGAAACAGTACTTCGAGAGTCCGAAAAGCGAACAGAAAGCGTTTCAACTGGACGTACCCGACACTAACCTGCCGTGCGTTATACCAAAGGCCGGTAAGGTTATATACCTGCCGATGAGCGCCTGTCACCTATACGCCAATCAGCCGGTGCCCAGGGCTAAGCTCACCGGCGATAACACGGCTAAAATGGTGCGCGCGTGCGGTATGTATTGATTGCCCTGACATTTGGTACAAGCTATTTCTTACATACCGTTCCCATTGCACAGGCACTCAGGGCCCGTTTGAACGCTTCGACGCCATTAACGAGGCGGTGTCGGCCATCATCGATGGCTCCCAGCCCTACCTACAGGAGTTCGGGCTGAGCATCGACTCCCGGGCCGCTAAGATACCGGGCCGAGTGTTGGCCAAACCGGCCATTCAAGGCCTGGACCGTAAGGAGCGTAAGAAAATGCACCGACCGGTCGACCTGAAGCACTGGGTGTTAGTGAATCTGTGCGAACGGTACGTGACGGACGACGCGCTCCGGGCGTTCACGAGCGACCTGTGCTGGCGCGCCGCCCACGAGGTCGGTATGGATGTGTCGAACCCCACGAAGATCTTTAAGTACGACCGCATCGGGCGTAAGGATATCGACGCCATATTTGAGGGCGCGAAGGCTGAGTGCGTGAAAAAAGGGGTTACCATTCAGATGATAATGTTTGTCATACCCGATGATGGAGACACGCGTAACACCATTAAACTCGTTGGTGATACTAAGCGGGGTATTGTCACGCAGTGTGTCAAGTCCAAGAACGTCGCCTGTCCACCCAGAGGTATGTCCCCCTTTTGGTGGTTTTAGTAGTCTCTCTCTCTCTCTCTCACTCTCACTCACTCACTCACAGTCACTCACTCATTCATTCACTCACTCACTCACTATCCCTTCCTCTCTAATCTTTGTATCTAATGATGAAAATTACTGTTAATTAATGACTGATTTTGACTCCATTTCCACTCACAGGAGGCGTTCAGTCAAACCTATTGCTGAAAATCAACACAAAGTTGGGAGGAGTGAACCGCATCTTAGAGGCACTGCCGGACAAACCGGAATCTCTCTCTCTCTCTCTCTCTCACTCACTCACTCACTCACAGTCACTCACTCACTCATTCATTCACTCACTCACTATCCCTTCCCCTCTAATCTTTGTATCTAATGATGAGAATTACTGTTAATTAATGAATGATTTTGACTCCATTTCCACTCATAGGAGGCGTTCAGTCAAACCTATTGCTGAAAATCAACACAAAGTTGGGAGGAGTGAACCGCATCTTAGACACTGACCGACAAACCGGAAGTCCTACGCAAACCCAATTGGCGGGTAATGATTATCGGCGCCGACGTCACACACCCGGCGCCCGCAGACAAGTTGGAGACATCAGTGGCCGCCTGTATCGGCTCCATAGACGCCGATTACAGCCAATATTCGGGGTCTATTAGGGCTCAGGAGAGGTCTACCAAAGCACAGGCCGTAGAGATGATAATGGACTTCGAGGGCATGATTAAGGAACTGCTGGACGAGTACCGCAAAGCGCAGGGAGCTCTGCCCAACCATATCATCTATTATAGGTTTGCATTGGTTTTGCCATTCGCTGTGAATCTGTCACTCATTTAATTACCGCTAAATTGACGCCATTTTTACGGTCAACACAGGGATGGGGTGTCGGAGTCCCAGTTCCAGCAGGTGTTGGACTACGAGCTCCAGAAGCTTCGCGACGCGTGTCTGGCCAAAGGGATTACGGCACCCAAACTGACGTTCATTACGGTCCAGAAGCGACACCACACGCGCTTCCGTCCCGAGAACCCCCAGCGCGGTATGGGCCCCAAGAATAACATACCGCCCGGCACTGTAGTGGACAGTCACGTCGTGCACCCGACCGACTTTGACTTCTACCTGTGCTCTCATGTGGGCATTCAGGTAGGCGTTGGTGTAGT